AACTGTGTAGCTTTTATACAGGGTGTCCCGTAATTCGACTGCTAAAATTATACAGGGTGTTCCTTGGTAGGAATTATTAAAAAACGCTGAAGAGCTGTTTTTTCTTCGAAATAGAAATAAATAAATTGTGCACGAAATGGACTAGTAGTATTTCATTAACGTCCAAGTTCTAAAATTGTTAGTGAGAGTGTGTCCCGGTATCTCCACGACTGGTATAATTGTAAAAAAAAGTAAATTTTTACATTTATTTAGTTGTCGCTAGCCTAAGTTCTACCTACGTAATCCTTCGAGATTTTTGAGTATTTATGACGTTTTCCAAACACTAAAGCACCTTATTTGGCCCAATTATCACATTTTTGCATCAATATTTATTATACTCATGTGGAGAAGAAATGAGTCGACAAATAGGAAGACGGAAATTTTCATGAAAATGTTTTTCTACATGTAAGCAGACGTTTTTACCTCACTTGGTATTTAAACATCTCACAATTAGTGTCATCTTTCAACTGACCTTTTGAATAACTCAGAGCTATTGCTGTCATGATTTATTGGGACAAATTCTTTCACATCAAAGTAAGAGTTTTTCTATAGGAACTGGAAAAAGTCGATATCTTTTCATTTCGTACTCCAAATGAAGTGAGGTCTATCTCGGAGAGGAAGTTTAAAACTCAGACTTATTTAGAAATTGTCAATTATTCAGCAAGAAACACTTTACTCGAACAACTGCGAACAACTTCAACACATTTTGTGAGAGTTAGGGTGAGGGATACGTAAACAGAAACAGCAAGGCACTGTCTGCAATATACCTTTGTAGGATGGAACCAGGAGGGTTGGGGAATTTAGATAATATCGCAACGCACAACTTTTCGTTCAACCCTAAAATATGTTTCCCGCAGTTGCTGTTCAATCCTGCTTTGATTAGCTTGCATCAATATTTTTGCTAGAAAATTAAATTTCTCATTTTATATTGTTTGTTAATTCGAATAATCTACTTTCCATTATTTTGATATTCACTCCATTCGCATCTTGAAATTGATAGGTAGCAAAAATGTGGTACAATGTTTCTTGTTGCCAAAATTACAAAAATTTAGGCCATGTTCTACTCATATAAATAAATTGTACAAACTCCAATAACTTTTTCGAAAACACAATGTTATCGTAGTTACATAACCTTGAAGTTATGTGTTACAGTAATACTTTATTATAACTTTTTCACTTTATTTCAGTGAAGTAAAATTTTTCGAATTTAGTCCCATATCATTTCAGGATCATATTTCATTTCATGATCATATTTCATTTACTTAAGGAGCATATTTCATTTCAGGATCATATATCATTTCAGGATCATATTTCATTTCAGGTTCATATTTCGTTTAAGGCTCATATTTCATTTTCTTTCATAATCATATTTCATTTTATTTTAGAATCATATTTCATTTCATGAGCATATTTCATTTACTTAAGGAGCATATTTCATTTCAGGATCATATATCATTTTAGAATCATTTTTCATTTCAGAATCCCATATCATTTCAGGGTCATATTTCATTTCATGATCATATTTCATTTACTTAAGGAGCATATTTCAATTCAGGTTCATATTTCGTTTAAGGCTCATATTTCATTTTCTTTCATAATCATATTTAATTTTATTTTAGTATCATATTTCATTTCATGATCATATTTCATCTACTTAAGGAGCATATTTCATTTCAGGATCATATATCATTTTATAATCATATTTCATATCAGAATCCCATATCATTTCAGGATCATATTTCATTTCATGATCATATTTCATTTAAGGCTCATATTTCATTTTCTTTCATAATCATATTTCATTTTATTTCAGGATCATATTTGATTTCACCATCATATTTAAAATAAGCATCATATTTCATTTCATTTCAGGATCATATTTCATTTACTTAAGGATCATATTTAATTTCGGCATCATATATGATTTCAAGATAATATTTCATTTCAGTTTCATATTTCATTTAAGGTTCATATTTCATTCTATTTCATAATCATATTTTTTTTCAGGATCCTATATCATTTCAGGATCATATTTCATTTCATGATCATATTTGATTTCAGGATAATGTTTCATTTTCATTTCATATTTAATTTTTATGTTCATATTTCATTTACATATATCATTTCAGGATCATATTCGTTCTTATTCTAGGGTTGGGTAATATGTAGATAAATAAACATATTTCAAGTCATTACAATTAAACAGGTATAAATATATTATAACATTTCCTTACCTATTGATATACCTATGTAATGTTTTGACAATTTCAAGAGCACTATTTTGTAATCCAAATTACTGCACTTTTCACACGCAACTAAGGCGCATGTATTCGTGCAACCATGTATGTAAAACAGGAAAATTTTAAACTAAAAATTAGCCTGTATAGTTAGTTTTAATATTTTTAATCTAATTTTAAAGCGATATTACTTCTAGCAAAACAATTTATCGATATTAAACATGCCATTACTTGCGCACTACAAAAAGGCAAATAAATTCAACTAACGATGATGATAGATGTACGATGCAGATATTTATTTTTATATTTACATCACCCAAGCAACGTATTCAAATTCTAGTATATTTTTTTTGCTCTCGATTTACATCGATAACACCGAAATATAAAACTTTTAGTAGTTTATTCCTTAGGCTTCTCCGATAGGTCCATAGTTATTCTATTGACGCAGTGGTAAGGTTTACTTCACCTGTTTCCAGACCTATGGACAAATAACCGATAAAACAAGATATTTCCATCAGTTCCAAATATATTTCACGAGTACTTAATTAAACTACTAACGAGGAACATCGCAAAGCTTTTAATACGCATAAACAAAAAAGTTCAACATTATTATTTATTAAATGGGAGATAAATTTAACAACTCGAATTTGGGCCAGTTAGGGAAAAGGTAAGTGGATTAAATGCAATACGTGGTTTTCAGCTAATGTTTAAATATTTATTTTTTCATATTTTTTCGTTCGCTCAGTTGAAAAACGAATGGTTGCAACAGTGCTGTGCATGTAATTGTCGAACTGCTATTAGAAATGAGAAATGGGCGTATACGTATATTAGCAATTGTACATAAAACGTGTCCCAAAAGTAAATTGGTACACCCTGTATATGGAGTAAGTAATATTATTTCCACCTATAGATGTTAAAAAATTAAAAATTTCAATGTGTCCCCTTGAATTGAAAGAGCGTTAAAAAATAGGCGAGTAAAAAGAATCTATTTTATCCGGACCATATTAATATTTTTGCCTTTTTGTTAAAAGCTCGTTTATTTTAGACTTTTTCACCTAATTCGAAATAGTATTTATTCTTGAATTTATTTCTGGAAAAGATATCAAATTAAAAAATAAAATAACATTAGCAAATAGGTCGAGTAAGTAATTAAGTCCAACAACAATTGTTCAAAATGAAGTCTTTCCGCATAGATACATTTTTGGAACCACTTTTCATTCATTTAATGTAACAGTACCTGAATTTAACATTATTTCTACAAAACTGCCAGTGGCGTATTTTTCTCTTGGGAAAACGGAAATCACCCTGTATAAATTAATTTACTTGCTGTAAGCTTGGGTAATGAATAAAACAATAAAAAATTGCGTGATGCTGGACTATTGTCATGCAGAATTTCTGCATTGTTTCGATTAGTTTTACATTATGCTATATTAAATTAAAAATTATGTAACCTGAATATATTAATATTTTAGCAGTTTAATTCTGACGGGCATCACTTTGTTTATATGTCCTCTTCCGTGTGCGTTGCGTCTTCAAGCTGTTATCCGGAGAAGGGACATTTAAAGCAATTCCATTCTCTGAAGATATGATATAAAAAGTCTCGGGATTCAACAAAAACGGTACTCCAGAGACGTAACTTATAAATGTACGCGTGCCGGTGTGTTTCTGTTGTGCCCCAAGTTTCTCTTATGTTAAGGGAAACTTTTTATCAAAGGTCGAAATGAAAATAACGTAATTGAGTGATTCTTTTTGTTTGCTGTCAGTCAAACATGGAACAGAATTGTAGCAAAGAAAACATCTTCTTTATGTTAACCCCTTTATGATTATACGACGCAAAATGTGTGTTTTGTTTGATTTGTTTATCTTATTTAATTAGAAAAAGTGTGTTTATATGTTCAAGAAGAGTTGTTTCATAGAATAAAGTTGATCTAACTGAGTAGTAGTGTGTACAAATTTTCCCATAGTATACTTCATGAAAAAATAGATTTATTATGAACTCACATCAATATAATGCCACACATGGTTATTTATCGCTAATGTAAATAGGTCAGCAAACATTTTAATTAAAAACCCAAACTGTTATTTAAAAAATTTGAAAATGTTCTATAAAATGGTTACAAATAATAAATTTGTTAATCTAACTCAAAAATGCAATGCTATGTCATTTATGTAGGAATCATTATTAGCACTACAAAATTTTCTTACCAAAATATAATATATGTGGTACAAGAATTTGATTAAAAATTAAATAAAAACCTACAAATTAAGTAACGGTATTTGAAAAGTATAATACATATAAGAAATATTTGACAGATTTATTATACTATTTCAGTTTACGTGAGGATATTGATATTCACATTTTTTATTTTTTGTTTGGTTCAATAAAGATACAGGAATAATAATTTGTCGTCCTACTTTTGCAATTTTATCTACAATTATTGTAACTGATACGAAGAGCATGTAGATTGTAGGTTATTCTGATTGATAAATTTACTACCCTTTAACATAAACGTAGAAAACAAATAACAACAAGTATTTTTTGTCAGAAATCTAATAATATGATTTTATACCCCCTTTACCTGACAAAGAGATATTTTTTATTACTTCAGATCAAGGATAAAAGGAGAAGTGTAAATTATTGTCGAAAAAGAGCAAATTGACTTGTTTTGAGCATTAAGCAAAGGAATTGATGAATAAAATACAACAGAGTAATTGAGAGAAATTAAAATATATTAGAACCCTTACATATTTAAGTTTATATATAAAATGGTCCATGTTTGTATTTAGTGTGTACATCTAAACATTAGGACACGTTGTATATTTAATAAATAATTCTTCGGTAGTCATTGTTGTCTTTTTTACCTTTTCGAGCTTCATAAAACTATTTTACGTCCTTTCCTACTGGAAACAGAACTGTGTATATAGATTTTGCTTCTACGTCTATTAGATTTGAGTAAATACCGCTTCTTTGAATCTGTACCTTTGAATTGGAGGTACCACTAAAAAATTATATGTGTAAATAAAATTCACACAGATTTAAATATTACAGACACCTACTTATTAAAAATTACAACAGCAATCAAGTTGTCTGGCCTTAAGAATGCCATGGATTTGACACCGTCCTTTTTAGAAGTATAAGATGTCTCCAAGCGGACAGAATCAGGCACGATAAACTTGGAAAAATGACCCATGGCATAAAACATCGGTTGCTTATAGAATTCCTGAGAGGACGCATTTACAAGGATGGGACTGTCGGCTTCATAACCTATGTATGTCGGGCCGCCAGACGTGTCTAAAGCCATGTTCCAGTCTAACCACCCACCAAAATTGTTTTCTAGGTACTAAAAACTATATTTTTATAAGTAGTTTCTATAAATTAGTAAATTAGTTAACCTCTATGATACTTCCTATGTACCTGGCTGCTCTGTCCCAACTTCCCAGTGTGAGTCCTTCTCTAAAGATGCCTGAAAATATTTACTCGATATATTCAGCTGAAAAAATAGGTCCAAAAGGGTTTAAAGATGCGGTGATGTAGATACAAAAACAAAAAACAAAGGTAAAGCAAATATTCTGTAAACTATAAAGCAATAATGCATAGTAAGTATATTATTTTTTGTTAAAATAAATTATTTGCTCACTTTATATGGTGGTTGCGATACTGCCACAATAATAGTTGAATTAATAATATACATGTGAAATAAAATTCATATTAGATTAGTAGTAGTTGGTTCATTCTTTACAGTTTGTCACTTCTTTGGAAGAAAATATCAAAAAGGAGAAAAACAAACCTGGATATATTTAACTGAATGGGATTGATTGAACTGTACTAATGATTAAAGTAAACATAGTAGCTGTCATAGTAAAATATCAGACTTATCATTAAAAGAAATTTTACGTGAAGGTAGTTGCTGTGAGGAAACTGCATATCACACGTCCAGTTATTGAAGAATCGTAGAGCTCTTATGAATCTTTTTATTCATTTATTTTTTTGTTTATTTTGATGAGGAGAATCATGGGAATTTGACGCAACGTTAGCATTACATCCTGTTTTAAATGGGATAACATAATTAATAGATACAAATTGCATGGTTGTCAAGTTACAGGATATTCACATTGACTTAACGAATTGTTTTTAAATTGAATAAAATTTTAATGACATTACCAGACCCTGCTTTGAAAACATAAATGTTGAGTATGTAATTGATAAATATTGTATGTTACACTTTCAAGAGTTACTATTACTCATTTTACTACAAAAAAGTACTACTTTCAGTACATATTTTTATGACCAGAAATACGTGTCAAAATGTTTTAGTATGGTAGACAGTACTGCAGAAATAAGTAGTACAAATTTGTTGTAAGTAAATGAAATTTGAAAGAAATATTGAATATTATTGTCAAACTTTGTGTATCTACGTACCTATGTCACCAAAACATGTATTTGTAAATATTAAACTGTGCTGCAAAATGAACTGCACCATTTTCATTTTCTTAAAATACGTAAATAAAATAACTTAAACTTGCTTGTGAAAGAAATTAATATCAATAATTGCTTTCCTGCATCGGTACCATTTTGAAAAAGTTTTAGAAGATATAATAAATTTTAGATAGTGATTAAAGTTATTTTTAAGTAAGCAACTAATGACTAAAACACAGAAAATTTAAATATACAGGGTGTTTCATAATGATGTGCAAATATTTTAAGGTGTTTAGAAAGTAATTTTAGGGGTGTACTTCCAATACATTTTTTCGATTTGAGTCGCCTTTGAGAAAATATCAAATCTCAAAATTGCCGAAAAAATTTTTATTTTTTTTTAAATACATTTTTAGTTCATATTTGCTTAGCTTTTCCTGTTGATAAAAAAAAGCATGTCAAAAATGACAATCGTTTTTGGTAACTGTTGTACTAATTATGTGTACCTAATCGGCAAGAAATAATAATTTACTTTTTGATCGTAAACCATTAAGTATATGAAAAAATGGGAAGAGTAAAAAAAGTTTCTAAATGAAATGTAGTATTAAATGCTATTTTTCTTGTTGGAATTGGCTTACGTAGAAAAAAGTTGTGAGAGAAATAAAACCAAGGGGTGCTAATTTCTTCCATTCAAAGACATAAACCAGAAAAAAAACAAACAATACCATTCATCTAGTTGTTAACGTGTACCAAAATTCAAATTTCTAAGTTTAACCGTTTTCGCGAAAAAGATAAAAACTGATTTTTTCGGCCATTTTAAGATTTAAATATTTTCTCAGGGGGGAGGGGCTCAAATCAAAAAAATATAAATACCCCCCTAAAATTACTTGCTAAACACCTTAAAATATTTGCACATCATTATGAAACACCCTGTATAACTTGACATTCAATAAATACATCAGGTATCAGTTGTTAGAAATTTTCTTGTATTTCTTTACATTATTTAAATACCCAAAGTAGATAATCTTAGCATTTCCCGACTTAACATTTCTTTCATTAAAACATATTTCATACGTTTTTTTATTCAGTACGTTTTATTAAATCTGTAGAAAAATCCGCCTGAACAATCTATTATTGATACGTGATTTCCAAAGGTAGTAAAATACCTATAAGGTTGACATATACATTACATGATTCAGTTGAGAGCAGGAACACCTCCTTCTTATCCGTTTTTATTAAATTTAACACATCTGCCGGCACTCTATCATCCCAATACCAATGCACACCAACCCCATCGATATACTTTAACGATTCATTGAGTAACTGCAAAGAGAAAATAAAGAAAAATTCATAACATTTCGACTACCCATTTAATTTAATATGTTTTTATTAAATATATAATATTAAAAAATTAGAAGATGACCTTTCGTTTTCAAAACACAGAGTGTAGATTTTTTAAATACATTTTTCCTTTATTTCCAGTAATAATAAGCATATCTCATCGAAATTTGATATACCTACACATGTCTTGAGAATAGCACGGTTTGAGTATTTTTAAAATTACTCGTTACTATAAGTACAGAGTGTTGGTATACGCTGCATACCAGGACTGTTTTAAGTCACGAGTTTTTAGGCTATCGAATTATTAGGTCTTCAGTACTGAAATCTTAAATTAAAATTCACTAAACCGCTTCATTTCTTTGTTGTAGCAGACATGTGTTTAATTTTTGTAGACTATAAAATAAAATTGCCTATTAAAATAATTGCAGAAAGGAAGTTTGATTATTCGGATCAATTAAAGCCGAGTTGATACAGATTTTTGAAAATCTAGATCAACAAAGCATTGATCTTATTATGTAATTAGAAATTAATCAATCTAGGGCATTTAGAACCTCTCTAAATCAGTTCATATAACATTAATCCTTGAATTATCTACTGAATCTTGTTTTAACATGTAACATTAATGTAGTAACTCTGTAAATATTTTTTTTAAATATAAATCTTGATAATGCCAGCGTTAATTAATCATACTAAACAAACAGTGTAATTATCAAAAATGTATATGTAAAGTCATTGTACTTTTATAACTTTACTACCCGTGGTGAACCTCATAATAAAAATTCCTGTTTACACAAACAAAATTGCTTTTTAACATGAAAATACTGAAATTAATCGCTACTGAATATTCAGTCTACTGTAATGAAAACAGTTTCATTAAAGTTAAATTATATGAATCAAAATACTCGTGATATTAAGTACAACAAATTAAATATAGGTAACAGCTGTAGTATTAAAAATAACTTCCAAATTCAATGCCCTATTTGTTGCTGAATTTAATGTAAAGCTACCTATTACAGAATGTATACTTACTAATGGAACAACATAAGGTAGAGTTAGCCTTGCGTCGTCGTGAATTATTATTTTCAGACCCTCATAAGGTGACCTATGAATATTTGGTCCTAGATTTTCGTTTATCCATTTAGCCTGGAAGAAATCCCTAAATTATTCGAAATATTCAGCTTTAGCATTAATAGTCAAAATAGGCATTTTGTTTCTACCAAAAAGAATTACGTTTTATGTGCATTATAATATTACGATTTGCATTGATGATGAAAGTTTAGAAACTTTTTCAGTGTTCGATAAAATCTGTATATATCCAAATTAATATTAATGTTTTGTTTTTGTTTTACAAAGAGTGAGTTTGTTTGTTTGTTTGCCCTTATATGGCTTGAACTTGACTGATTATGGGCATTTCTAGCAGCCCTTAAATAGATTTATACCAAGCAAAAGACTATCAAGGACTTTTCTGGAAATGTTCTAGAATTCCATATTATATGAAAACTTTTTATAAAAAATTGTTAGTTTATATCTTGTCTTTTAATCTTATAGTAGCTCTTCTCCATTTTCAAAGTTTTTATTAATATGCAACTTCTAGCTCTATTATGGTTTATGTTTACGCACAATCACTATCAATTCTTAATATCACATTTACAATTATTTTTCTTACAAAAATTCTGTCCTCATAACTATTTTTATACAAAATTTACAACTAACTGTCTTTCCAAATTATTTTCATAGTTTCTTAATTCTTTTTTATTTACTGCAGAATACTAATAATCCCGAAATCATGTACTGATAAGTTAATATAATATTTTTTATATGAAAATTATGACTATTATATGTTGCGAGAAGAAATTTTGATAATTCTTATAGCGAAAAGTCCAGTGATGTGTTTTATACTCAAATCTTTATAAAAATTAAATTCTACCTTAAGTATCTGTTATAAAATAGAGCTTGAAATCTATTCTTCACCTTTGGATAAGCGTGTTCAGTTAAATAACTTTATATTGTACTTATTACTAGTTGCCTAACTTTTAATTTGATTTTGTTTTAAATAACCTTTGTTATTACTTTATATCATATTTTTATGTATTATTAAATTTGGCTTTATGTGTATTAAATTATGTAATTTCTATTTGGTCTCGATGTTTCTCCCTTTTTTAAGTTTCAATTTTTGTGACTTAATAACTGAAAGACATTACTTTTCTAGTACTCCAAAAAATAATTACATACTTTGGTATTCTGAATTCTGTATATGATATTATCTATAATACAGTACAAATTTCTAAAATAAATGTACACTTACCAGCATCAGAGGAACCCACCCCATTGCATTAATCTTAGATTCCGTGTATGTAATAAATCCGTCCATAGGTTCATTTCCAGTAGTCATTCCCCAATATGTTATATTATGTAATCTGTATTGATCGAAAAATTTTATAACGTAATCAGCCCACAGCTGATAATACTCTTCCTTCAGAAGGGAATATCCAGTAAATACGTTGTTAGTTTTCATCCAAATCGGTGCTGTCCATGCAGATGCAAACAGTTTTAAGTTTCTGCCACCCCTCAGCTTCTTAGCAGCTCTTATGAATGGAATCTAAAATTAACTGAATATTCGATATCATCCTTCAAATTATTATATGCTTTCTGTTTCAGTAATAGTAATATTTACTTTTTTTTAGAAACAGAAGCTAATTGTTATATCATAGCATAGGTGGTGCAATTTCCAGTCAGTATGAAGCTTGAAGCTTATACTTACCTTAAATTTAAGGTCTTCCTCTTGTAGTTTAAAATGTTCCAATTTAGTATCATCAGTGTAATCGTCGTAAGTGTAAGGGCGTGGTGAAAAATCTGTACCGCCTATAGGAACTCTACACAAGTTGTACTCAATGCCGTTCTTACCGAAATAACTTTCCAAGAGATTTTCCTGAACTGCTTCATCTAAACTATTTATGTTGATACCTGTTGCGTCTGTGAAAGCCCCACCAAAACCAATAATCTTCTGATATCTCTTCTCAATGTTAACTTTAATGATGTTTTGGGACCTACCGCGCTTTTCCGAAAACTTTCCTATTAGTGTATTCAAACCTGGTTTAAACTTCCCGGTAGAGTAAAGTTGGTACTGTTCAAAACGAAGTGCTTGAACTTCTGGAACTGTGTCGCAATAACTTGCGTTGCAAACGCAGATGAAGCCGTTTTCCTCTTTACGAATATTGCAAGCCATTGTAACAACAATGCCCGTTAATATCACTAACAAAACTGTTGTGGAGACCATGTTTATTTAAAATTGTAACGCAAGCATTTCTGTCGGATTATATATATACAGCGTATGTGCCATAACTGTTGGTGATACGGAAATAGATAGCGAATACGTATGTGAATGGTAATTAGAAAAAATTCTTACCTTACTTAAATTATCAGTACCTACATGAGTTTGCTTTCTTATAAATATTTATACTTCTAATTCTATGTTTTATTAAACATGAAGCAATTAACAATCAGAATCTATATTGTCAACAAATATAAGGATAATATTCTGAATTTTATTGTCGCGATATGCACTTTGCAAATGCCGGGTTGCTTAACAAACTTTTTGTGAATTATTTGTAATTTTTCATATTTAAAACATTTTTTCAGTATATTGGAGGTCTGTGACTGCAGATCTAAGATAAAAAAGGATGCTTTGCACGTTGTCTAATAGATCTTAACATTTCACTTCATTTTTTATCAAATATATATCATTACTTCTCCCTCACTGGCTTTTATATCCCTTTTCACTCTTCATTGCACTTCAGATATTTCAAATTGATAAAATCTTCCCTTATCGCTCCGAGGCCGTGCCCGATAATGTTTTTTAAGGCTGTATTTCAGAGTGTGAAGACGGTTACTTGATTTTTAAATAGTCATTTGATTGTTTTTTTGTACCAATTTAAGGAAGCTTGATTTTTTCCAAATATCATAGAACGAATGCATCTTGAAAATAAAATAAATTAAAATAAGTCACAATGTACTGATACCAATTGTCTACAAAAAAAAAAACGTCAAAGCTGCAATATAATAAAAAATTCTCTCCACTCATCATTATTTAAAGTAAAACGATATATTTATGTTTGAGAAGTTATACGAAGACAGCCTACTGTATTAAAAAAATATTCTCCCAATGAATATAAACTATAACGAATTCATATCTGTCTCATAATTATCCATAATGCAGCTTACTTCACTTAATTCATTTCTAAACTACGATGCACTTAGTCGCAGAGCATGCACAATTGAGTTCTGGGCTGAACAGTGTTGTCAAATCTTATTTTTAAAGGAGTTATTAAAAAAAAAATTTTCACCCCACTCGTCGTGAGGTTTGGCCCGTTACTTTTGTTGAGTAAGTGTTTGCCACGAGTTCTATCATCCCACAAAGGCTAAAGTTTAATTCTTTTAAATAAAATGAACTTTGAAACAGTATAATCAATAATCAATAAACGATAGAGTATTTTTTTAATGTTTAGCACTTCTGTCGAAAAAATATGGTAAAATAACACATTGCTAAGTTATGCAAATGCAATCTATGTTACTAAATTATTTTTTATTATAGCCTACAATACAAGTAGATTGATTTGAAAACAACTGACAATTTTTAAACTACTGTATATTGATGATATTGAGGACTGGGAGGGAAATATAATCATACGTTCAAACGAACTTACCTTGGTGCTTCATATAATTATGATCAAACTTCACTAAGGTAAGTTCGTTTTAGGTGTTATACGTATACTGACCTAAATATTATGTTTTCTTAATACTTACCATTTATTTTTGTTCATTATATGATTGCTCTTAATCCTTTAGACATTCTACAGGGTGATCGAACTATCCGGATGTGGCAAATTGAAATATTATTAAGAATTAAACGAATAAGTTATACGAGATTGGTCAAATCCAAATATAGAACTCTCACTACTATAAGATTCCTTCTTGGTGTATGGATCTGATCCAAAGTGCGATCATAATGAGTGTGACACGTAGAAGAGGCAAACAAATTATTTTAACTTGTGCGTTAATATATTACTAATGAATTAACAAATAACTTTACTAAACTTGAATCAGTAAATCTATTGGTGGTGCTATATTATATTCCTTATCAGAATTCTTTTTTGAACACATACCAAGAGAAAATAAAGAGGAACAGTTTGTTTCAAGAATGTACATGGTACACCGTGTTTGACAGAGGACAAAGGTAAATCAAGAAATCGTTAAAATTTAAATTTACTAAATATGGCCTAAACATATTGGTACATCTCTTTGCAATCATGGAAGTCACTTGCTTTAACACTCTCTAAATAGTCAATCCAGAAATGTAAATAGCAACCGAAGACTATCTAATCGAATTTTGTGGATTTCGCTCAGATACTACTCGCGGTAATTTCATCATTTATAAAAAAAGTTATGCAAAAGTTAATCATGGACAATTTCTCAATACAAGTTAAGGTTAAGTGGCACTTTTCATGAATCACAAATAAATATAAAACAAGACGAGTGACTAATCTTTGTTAATTTTAAATAAGATACCTGCTATAAAAACCAATTAAGAAATTAGATGTTTTAACCGTTCCGCGCGCTATTAAATGGAGACCCTTATATTTTAAGACGCAGGTGGCGAACTTAAGGAAAAGGGACTCTAGCGAGCCTGCTACCATTATCGAAATTTGTTACCCTACCCAAATAAAATATGACTGTAATGTACTTATAATAAACTTTATCCACTTTATATAATTAGAAATTTAATATAACACTGTTTTATAAAGTGTTCTCAACGATTGATAAATACATTTCACCTAAATAATTTTGTTCTACACTTATCTATTCTTGTAATTCAAAATAACATTATAATATATTAATACGTGGTAAATAATTTTGACTATCTTTGACGTGAGCAAATGTCCAATTCAGTATGTTAGAAAGCAACGGAGTGGTCAATAAAAATCGTTCTTAAAATATCAACTTTATCACTCTGTATATCAAAAACAGGGCTAATAAATTAAAAATGGCATAACGAAAATCTTATTTTTTATTAATTTGTAACTCCTTGTAGAAGAAAAGCAAATATCAACTATTAAAATTCAAAAACAAGTTAAATAATAATTATTACAGTAACCTCCAAGAAATAATGTTACTGTATTTTAGTAATTACAAGTTACACAGTTACGAATTCTGTATTAAAAATAAAATATATGCATTAATTGAACAATTCCAATTAATTTCTCCCGAGTGTATACCATAAAGTACAAAGTCAAACAATTTAACTTTGACTAAGAACTTTAATATGAAATACAATATTCTTGCCGAGAAGTAATACCAATTAAGAAGTAGATCTAAACAATACTTGATAGAAAGTAAAGTTAAAGAAGACGGAGAATTTCAAAACTGTTTTCAATAAGTTTGTATAACAGTCATGAATATTATGTCCCAGAAATCAAATTTATACCGATTATTGAAGAATTGTTCTGGTCTGTCAGTAACAAATAATACATATAATAAAAGAAATGTCACAAAATTAATCTTGTTATATCAATTTAAGTAGTAGGTACATGTACCATACCTGAATATAATAAATAGATAATATATTTTTAAGAAAAAATAATAAATTTTATATTTGCTTATATCACTTGACTAAATCAATCAATCAGTATTTATTTCATGAAAACAGTGATTGCCTAGCTAGTACTCATATAAAAATCTTTTATGATTTTTTTTAAATAAAAACGCAAATGTCACATATGTTTGATATTATTTTATTTTTCAATACAAAATTCACATAATTCGCCACCAAGCAAGCTTCTGACACTTTGGAAATGAACGTAATTATTCCAGATTTAAATAAATGTATTTATATATTTATACAAACACTGACAAATGACAACTTAACTAAGTAAAATACCAGATTAGACTACCTGTATATGTTTCTACTACCTACCCCCAGAATTACAAAACAATATAGCTATATCCATCAAAAGTGGACGGATAAAAGTGTGCTATGTCTGTCAACAATATTCTACCACGTCATTGTTATAAAATTTCCCCTTTTTGCTTTTGAAAACCATATATTGATCCCTACACACAAATTAAAAGATTCGCCAAAATGTAAACTTGGAATGCCCGGGTGACATCTGCTTGATGCAACTTTTCGCATCAAATCCAACCTATACAACAACACGAAAATCACTGCGATCGGACTACCCCTTTGTTACACTTTGAGAATTTATGCCCAACTTCATTTAATGTTAAAAATAAAAATATTGGACCAATATACTTAAATGGCAATGCGAGTTTGAAATAATTAATAAAATTCTATATTTTTGTTTAAAAATAATAATGAATGATTACGTATGTAAACTTTATTTACCTGTATTTTTTCCTGTAAATTTAGATTATCTTATTGTTAGATTAATGTTGCATTTAGTGCTTTCAATCTGTTAATTCCAACATCAGATTTCTCTGTAATATACCGGATATAGAATTGTTATACACTGCAAACATTGCCTCCAGTTTTTCAATTTCAGTAAAATCTACAAGTTCCAAATTAGTTAAGAATCTTTCACAACTTTCCTTCACAAAATTCCGATCTATTTTTGAAGAAATTTTTTTTACATCGTAAAGTACGTGAAGACAATGTTCACGAACTTCGCCTTTGTAAATCATAAATTCTTCGAAAACATCATCTTCAATTTTGTGTTTCTTTGCATCTTCGAGTGAGAATTTAATCTTTCTATCACTTAATCGGAATTGATCCATTGTTACCACCAATCTATTACTTTTACCAGTAGACATCTCAGTAGCTCTCACATCTAATATACCGTCTTCGTCCAAATAAAAGTCTACAGAAAGTTTAACGTCTCCTGCACGTTTTTTAGGTAAGCCCATTACTGTAAATTCTCCGAGTTTATTATTGTAACTAATATTTTTTCTTTCACCTTCGTAAATACAGAAGACAATGCTATTCTGATGATTAGAACATGTTATGATTTCTTGAACCTTTCCAGAGGGTAAAGGAGAATTTCTGGGTATAAGAAAACACATCCGGTTTCCAAACACCTCAATACCGAGAGACATAGGAGTTACTTCTGTCACTTTGTATTTCTCTAACTCAACATGATCTCGTAGAAGAAGAGCAGCCTGAATACTTGCTCCAGCCGCTACAGCTTCGTCCGGATTTAAATCCGTCTTAATTTTATTAGGCCCAAAACAGGAAGCTAAGATATCTTTAATTTTCGGTATCCTAGTTGATCCTCCCACCAAAACAATTTCGCTTATGTCTGATTCTGACAAACCGGAATCCTCCAGAGACAACTTCAATACCTTTGTTATCCGTCTGAAAGTTGAATTGCATAATTTTTCGAATTTTGTACGTGTCATAGATATATGAACATCAGAATTTCCATCATATTTGTCCATTAAACATGTAAACTCTTCCTTAACTGATAAATTTTTCTTTAAATTAGCGCAAATATTTTGTAATTTTCGTTTAAATCTATCTGTTTTAAATGTTTCCCTGTCATTTTTACAAATCTTTTTATAAAAATGTGTAAACAAAATGTTATCAAAGTCCCTGCCACCAAGTAATGTGTCTCCGTATACAGATTTTACCTCAAATACATTATTTGTTACTTTTATCAAAGAAACGTCCAGTGTTCCTCCACCAAAGTCGAAGACCAATATGTTAGAATTAATTCTATGCTTGTCTGAAACGTAATGGATAGCAGCAGCTGTCGGTTCTGTTACTAACTTTAAGATACTTAGGCCCGCCAGTTCTGCTGCTTGTTTGGTAGCCTTTCTTTGAGCATTGCTGAAGTAGGCTGGCACCGAAATTACAGCCTTAGTCACATTTTCCCCTAAATAGTTACAGGCGGTCTTCTTGAGGTATTTTAAAACTTCTGCGCTCACCTCTTCGGGCTTCTTAATAATTTTTTTATTGGAAATTTCTATTTCGAAAGCTACTTGACCATCTGGTGCAGGAACCAGCGAAAAACATTTCTGCTTTGACTTAATATATTTTAAAACGAAGTCGTCATCGTACTGTCTTCCAATAAATCGTTTCGCATCTAAAATATCAAGTTGGAAGAAATTTCAAATGGGAAAATATTATCATTTGTTACCTAGAAGGCAGTTGCTCGGGCAATTAGGTGATGATTCATCAGCTATTCGGCCAACATAGACTTCCCCATTTTTAGGATCAAAATAAACAATAGATGGGGTAAGACGGTCTCCTTCTGTGTTTGCAATAAGTTCAGCTCTTTCATTTCTATAGACTGATACACAAGAAAAAGTTGTCCCAAGGTCAATTCCAATGGCTGGAGCGTTGGACATCTGAAATAAATTCATGGTATAATACCATGCCCAAAAGACTAATCTGTTAAAGACGTGGTATGTAAGGGGTGTATAGTCTGTCAAGTAAAATACTGCTGCTTTTGATGGATAAAGTCTTGGTAAGTTGTTGGTTTTGTGTTACTGGCCAAAATTCTCCACAGTACTTGGGTCCGAAAATCAATTTTTTCCTACTGATGTGTCCCATAATTAGTATGCAATACGACCAAAAATAAGATTATATTTTCCTACAAACAAGGGTCGAAAAATGCTTCCTAAGGGAGCTACTCCCCCATAAAAGGGACTTCAGGAGATCATATTTTTCAAAATATTTCCAAAACCAGTTAACGTATCATTGTGAATTTTGGTATGTTGGACATTCAATAAATGTTCTAACGAACTACATGAGAACAAACGTTTGTATACTTGAATTAATTTGACAGATTATTAAACTCAAATTTTTACTTTCACTTTACGGTGCTGTTTTGACATTAATCTAAACAAAAAATTAAAAAATGCAAAATTTTCATAATCGCGAGCTGGCAGACACTCATTTTGTGTATGGATTTTGTAATGGGAGAGCACTAGCGGCACAAAGGGAATTCGTTGAATCTACTGCTAAAGTATTGCACACTAATTATGGGACACCCAGTATAGCTGCCCGAGACAGTTCTGCTGATGATGGCTGCAAAGTAGTTTGATTAAATAGTAGCTTGTGGGAAATGTTCATTGAAAAAATTAATTGCATGACTTCTAAAAGTTGCTAATTAACATTTTTGACATGTGCCAAATACCAAAGTAATCGCATTTAGCCGTTGGCAACTGTAGTTTGTAGATGCAATAGTATCTCTAAATATCTGAATAATGAATTTTATGGTTCAAAAAATATAATTATTGTTACATTCATAGCCAGGGTGACTTAGGTTTTAATATGAGATTGTTTATTGTTGGAAATTGTTGCATTTAATTGAGAAATGTACGAATGCAGCCTACAAACTACTGTTGCCAAAGGCCAATGCGGCCAATTTGGTATTTGGCACATATCAAAAATGTTAATTAGCAACTTTTTAATCATCCGATTAATTTTTTCTATAAACAATTCACGAAAGTTACTGTTTAAATAGGAAATAATTGATTTTCGGGCCCAATTACTGTGGAGACTTTTGATTAGTAACAACAAACCAAATAACTTACCGCAATATAAGTCAATTTGACCGAGCCAACATTTTCATAAAGACCGTGCGGGGTTCTTTATCATATAGTGGGTTATAAACACCTAAGACCTTAGCGTTACATCAGAAGTAACTCAATAATGCATAAAATGTTACATGTTATAGTTGTCTAAAAAAACACACACACTCATCACTTTGGTGAATTCCATTTAGAATATACGTTTTTTGACTTTTTACACTAAGAATATTTTCATTATTTATTATTCCAGTTAATGATATAGGACGAATTTATAAGTTGAAACCACTATAAACCTTACCTTATAAAAAGCTACGCTTGTGTAAAAAGAAGTTTGAGAAAGAAAAGCTGACAGTAATGATTATTAATTTTTAGACAATTGTGAAGTCGCAAATAATACACAAAATAAAATGTATACATCATAAATAAAAATTTTCATATTATAAGGCAAAAAAAAATAAATCCGCATTATAGTAAATCACCACACTTTTATGGTTGCCAAAATTCATAGACGTAATTCTCGTTGTAATAAACAGGCAAAATATTTATTGGAAATTATCACATTTATTTGAAAAACTTTCTTTAAATATGTAATTTTTCTATTAATCATTTAATGGTAACTGATATGGTTAATCTATTGTCTGTACTAATAGATAAAGCATTGGATATTATCAAAAATAAATTAGAATATGATAACAATTTGACATGTAGACGAAATATTTGCAATTTGGTTTTTACCATTGAAGAATTAAATATTTTATTAGATATTATTAATAACAAGGAACCAACAATTAAATCTACTTTGGAAATGGAAAACAATAATATTATTCTTTCTAGATATTTTAATTTAAAAAAAATAGCAATTATTTACAAACAAGAGCTTATAGAAAACCAACTCACACTAACAGATATCTAAATTTTAATTCGAATAATCATATTAACATAATTAGGGTGTATTTATGTTGGTACGACAGAGCCAAATTGATTATGACAATTTTGTTGCAACAGTTTATAAGTGTATTGGAAGTAAAAGGAATCATACAAAGGGAAATTATATCTACAAAAAGAATTCCATATATTCCTGTATTATCGGAATAAGTAAGCAGGAATGAGGTAACAAATTCAACATTAGAATACATTTTCAGGCAACTAATACTAAAATTGCACTTATAGCATACCTTGTAAATGCAATAAATATTATGTTGGAGACACGAAATGTAAAAATTAGAGACGAACACAAAGATTACATTAACAAATGATAATTTGAAAATAAAGAATTTGCAAACATGCTTCGGAAAACGGTCACATAATTTAGTGCAGTTCGGCCAAAATTTTGGAGAAAGAAAACAATACCGTTAAAAGAAAATTAAAAATGGTCACAATTATTTGATTGGATGGTGAAAAATATGTTACAACTACTCTGTGAACATTTTGAAGTATGTTTTTTTATTGTGACTTTCGATTCAGCAAAATTATTTTCATAAAAATATCCCTTACTGACCTTTTTGCGCAACGATTTATCTCATAATTTTTTAAAATTTATTTGCAGGTGCAAAAATATCCAGTAAATAAAAAAAAATCATTATGCAAAGTTGCATTTTATAATGTAACAAATCTTGTGTAATAGTGGATATAATAATTATTAAATGAAGCCAACAAGAACGAGCGCTCCAACTTTTATTATTTACATTTGAGACCTCGATATGGTGGTATTATCATATCGTTTTACTATAAAAAAAAGTTTCGAGAAATTAAAACTGTTATATTTTCATTGCCCTACCATTAATTTTAATTATAAGAAAAATATCAATATAGTACAATAGTTTACCTTATTTGTTGAATATTTGCCTAGGTACATCTTCTATACAATGTAATATAATTTTTTCCCACAGAAAACAATCGTGTTGTGCAACAGAGAAACTAATGTATCAGTTTTACCACAGGTTGAACACTTATCGTAGCCTGGTATTCCCCGAATGATTCTTTAATATTTACTTCATAATAAAAATTCTTGTTATCTCTGTTAACTGCAATGTTGTTGACGTTTTTATTATCTTTTGATAAATAATAATAAAAGAAAGGATTAAATTTAACGAAATACGTCTAATTGATTTACAATCATCACCAAGTGTACTGAGCAAAACAGCGGGGTTATGGATATATGTATGTTATATATCACATGTAACATATAACTCAAGAATAATCCTTATAATAATATCGGTTCCTGGTATATTTTCATTTGTATCAGTCACTTACTCATTTAATGTCGAATTTTGCACTTTTAATCAAACAGTTTTGATTAAAAAAATAGCTACTACATTCATTTATTTATTTCATATAAATTCTTATATTTTCAATAGCAATTTAAACGTATTTTAGATATAGTTTTCTTGAAGCGCATTGGATGTATGTCCTTTTCACTTTGCAATCAAAGCCATGATGTGATGTGATGTGATTTAGTTTTTCTATGCAAAAATTGATGCATGGGAAACGAGTATGTTAAAATCAGTCAATAAATAAGGCAGTTATGGGGTGGCTAATTCTCATGTAGAATATATGAAATTATTTTGCCGTTTTTAAGATTTAATTAAATACAACACACGAAAACCAACAAATGAAAGTGGTGCAATTTCTTTATAAAATGTGAATAAAATAATCCGAAATACTTACAGACTCATGAGAGGTTGTATTTTTTGTAGAATAGCGTTTGAAAAGTAAATCTTCCTAAACACTCTCCCGTTTTATTTAAAAAAAGTTTCGTATAATAAAAGAAGAAAATAAAACGAAATAGGTCCATTTATTATATACATAACTTTTTCTAGGAAATCTCCGCCAGCTAAAGAAAATATATAATACGCTCCTTTATACTCCTACTAATGTTTAGATGCACTCTATATCACTTGATCGTTCTGCTTTCATTATTTGTTCTACGACGCATTTCTGGCCATTATAGAAAGGAACACACAAGATGGAATCGTACGGAAAGACAAAAGAAAAAGAGATAAATGGCAGGAAGTACGAGGAAACGGAAGGAAGTTAGTGACTGCCTGTCTGATCTTAGTAGCCACTTACTGGCTATAGCCCCCCGATACACACCCCATGTGAGAATTGCGAGATGTTACCGTTAATAAATAAATGGCCACTTATTTATTGGAAACCCTACTTTGCCGGACAGGTATATAAAATGAACTGTTAAATTCCTCAAAAGTCTACATGGAATCAACTAAGGTGAAACAAATTTTACAACTACAGGATTATAAATTAATACGGCTTATACGGAGGAAAGTATATTTGCAGCGTAAGTAAAACGGATTTTGTGCTTCTGGAAAACATACCATACATAGCCTTCATAATTGATTACACGCTAAGTAATTACTAAAACAATAAACTGTAAAAAACAATATGTGTGAGTGAACACAACAAAGGTACAGAGTGAATATTGAGCATTTTGATCAATTTACTGATTTGTGTAAATGTCTTCATTATTGACCTCATTCTATGGTTGTCGTGCGTAGCTTTTGTCTATTCTCATCATCCTCATTAGGTCATCTCGTGGCGTGGTGTATGGCGTGTAGTGCTGGGCAAGTGTCTGTTAATCCGGATATTTTGGTGAAGATTATGTTTAAATGCAGTGGTTTGATTACAATAATTAAAAACAATAATACTTAATAATAATCTCAATAGTAGATAAAATAAACGGGGAGTTAAATTGTTAAGTAAGTATAGGACTTACTTACACATCTGTAACTTACAATGTGGGTCTGGCATAGGTGTACAATATAGGTGGCTTAATATAGGTTATGGGCTATTGGGCGCTGAGCCCTTGGAAATTTTAATAGTACAAAATTACTCAATAATAGTTAAATTAAAATCATATTAGAGAAAAATTAAACTTTTAATAATTGGTTTTACATACTCAGAATAGACTCAAAAGTAACTCAAAAGTAAAAATTGATACACTATTGAGTAAAATTAAGTGAATTTGAGTGAAATTTTTTATACAGTGTAATTATAGTAAGAATTTGATATAAAACTCTATGAGGCCTACCAAACTTCACAATAAACTACATTCATTATGCGAAAGGTCAACGCACCCAATACTGTTTTATGAAAAACACGAGGTACGGCGAAAAGCTTACCTTGGAAAGTATTCATATTCTAAACTTATTTACCATAATAATTTAATGTATTACAATTTACAATTTAATTACGGAGGGTGGCGAAATTCATAGCTATGGTTGCATTAGAAAATATCGCCGTTAGGGCGATGCCGCCATTAAACCCAGCAATTGCAGAGGTTATATTTTGCGGCACCCTTACTACCACTTGATTAAATTTATAATAAGAGAACTCTATACAAATTTATAGACATCAATAAAATTTTCTAGTACATTTAAAATCTTATTTCCTCTGTATAGTGCAATCGAAAGACTTGTCTTTAATTAAAATTTTATCCCATTTTACGTTCTCAGAGTTTGAAAATGTGAAACAGGAAATTTAGAATACCGAGTGATTTTATTTGAAGGTAGGTAATGTTAAAAAAGATTTACAATTAGACCAGTCCAATAATCCTAGTCTACTAATCCTATTTCTAACATAAGGCAGTCAGCCTTGGTGGAGAATTGGTGGAGGTCATGAAACTGCACATCAATATCCTTAAAATTCCATTTGTTATTTTCGTTCAATATTGAATACCAGATAATATACAGCGTGATGATAAAGTTTGGAACTAAATTCTTAACTTCTATACTGAGTGATTTTTAAATAACGCCGAGACAGGTCGATTTTGTTCTCGGGAGGGGCATCTTTTAAGATGATTCAATTGTATATATGGTGACGAAGGATAGCTGGACGGCCAATAAATTTGTTTTTTCTTATGGAACACCCTATATATTTTCTCATATTCGGATAAAGCTTTCCCTTGCGAATACAGTAATATAGGTTTGACGGGTCCATGTCAAATAACAAGCGAGATATTGCGAGAAAATGACATTTATTTCAAAAAATTATTTAATGACATTTTTTTAAATAACCTCATAGAAAAAAATCCAGAGCAGTCAAGTCGGGGGAACGCGGGGGCCACTCAAGCGATCCTCTCCGCCCTATCCATCTTTCAGGAAATGTATCAAGATATTGCCGAACCTCTAAGCTAAAGTGAGATGGAGCTCCATCTCGTTGAAACCAAATATTTTCATGGGGTGTATGGCCATCTGCAGCGTTGCGGAAGAGAACTGCTACAGCCGGCACCAACTCAAAACGCAGAAAGTATAAATAGCTAGCAGCAGTGAGGTTTTCTTCAAAAATGTAAGGACCTAAAAGTCGCTTTCCTACCCATACATTTAATTTGCCTTTACGCTGACTGTGGAATTCTTGCGCCCAATGGGAATTGTCATTTGACCAATATGTACATGGCGATATACTGAACCATTTAAACAGAATATGGCCTCGTCAGAAAAAAATATGTTGCTTACAAAGTTTAGATTTTCATCACACCGTAACATTAATTGTTCACAAAAGTGCAACCGGCCGTCTGGGTCAGCCTCATTTAATTCGTGTATCAGCTGGACTTTATATCCATGATACTTTTCTGTACGAGGCAACTTTGCAGCATATGATTGGTCCACATTGTTGTTTAGGGCTAGTTGTCTTGTTGACTGATGGGGATTTTCTTCAGTTTCCAGCAATACATTTAACTTGATTCTTCAGCGATTTGGGTCGATCTTGTCGTGCCCTATCTCTTACACACCCAGTCTCTTGGCGACCAATTTACTCACCGTAGATTGTGCAATTGGTGGTGTGTCAGCAAGTGTTTGATTAAACAGCTCACATGCTTCCGCATGGGTTCGTAGCTTATCACCATATCCACCATGATTAAGATCTATCCTTTCACGTTCAGTTAAATGTCATTCTTTCTAAGCTCCTAAAAATTCAGTGATAAATAAGTTTATTAAGGTTATAATATTGTACTAATTTGAGAAAATGTCACGCTACAACAGTGGTGTTTTTGTTTCTAAGCAACGACCAAAAACCGAAATTTAATAATTTTTATAAGTGACAACAAAAAGAACCCTAATTTTTATTGCTAAACTTGCAAACTTTTTTTGTATTTTTTTCGTTAATTATTTGCATTTGTTTCGTTTCCAAATACAATTTTTTTTATGAAAAATGACATTAAATAATAATTAAAAAATAAATATCATTTTCTGGCAATATCTCGTTTGTTATTTGAGATGGATCCATCAAACCTTATATCACTATATTCGTAAGAGAAAGCTTTAACCGAATATGAAAAAATATATGGGGTGTTCCATAAGAAAAAACAAATTTATTGGCCGTCCTACTTTTCTGGATACAACTGAATCATCTTAAAAGATGCCCCTCCCGCGAACAAAATCGACCTATCTCTGTGTTTTTTTAAAAATTACTCGGTATAAAAGTTATGTTTTTTTGTTCCAAACTTTATCGTCTCGCTGTATATTAATTCAAATTAAAATACAACAGTGTAATAGGGATTGTAAAGAAAAATATGCATGTGAGATTAAATCATTTGTAGAAACTTCTCAGTAAATGATGATTTTGGGAAATGATGCCCATGGCACGTATCGTTATTGATCTTGCAAATGAGTGTAATTAACAAAAAAATAAAACAGGCGAAGTAATTTTTAAATGATATCCAGCCAACATACCACAAGAACGATAACTATATGTGATGACTTTTTTTATAATACTTTCTCAGATAAATCTTACGTTACTTATACCCTGTACTTGTGACTGTGTACCATGTACTTTATTTTAAATGTCTCAAATAAAATACCCTGTAGAATTGAACTTTAAGAAATGAAAATTCTTCATATCAACGAAAGATTTAATTTCAAAACAGAAAGTAGCCGTTACTACCAACGAAAACAGATATTAAAAAAGTATCACCTTCACGCCAAAAAGTTCAAACACGTTCA